CAGGACGGCTAGGGTCTGGAACCAGCTTCCAAGTGAGGTGGTGCAGGCTCCCACCCTGGGGGTTTTTAAGAGGAGGTTGGATGACCACCTTACTGGGGTTGTTTGACCCCAGTACTCTTTCCTGCCATGGCAGGGGGTTGGACTAGATGATCTGCTCAGGTCCCTTCTGACCCTAGAAACTATGAAACTATGAATGAATACACATACACATTGCCTTATAGGATCCAAACAACAAATTGTTCAGTGTAGTACAGTATCCAGTTAGTAAGCATTTTCTGTCAGGGACCCTAAATCAGGCTAACCCTGGGCTAATTGCCTAGATGACCACAGTGGCCTGGGGTTTTGACAGACAGGTCTATCCCAGCTAATTAACTGTCTGGCTTCCTGATTGGCTGCTGGAAGTACAGCTACCCATTAAGTCCCATCTGTGGCAGCAGTCTCTAGGCCAGCCAACAGGACCAACTCAGCTCTACTCTGGTGAGCCTCCTGGTTCGGCTCTGTCCCTGGGCTCTAGCTTTGGATCTCTTCTTAGATCAGTTTCCTGGTTTCTGGACCCTGCTTCCTTAGGTCCTGGACTCTGGCTTGTGTTTTTTCCCCCTGGGTTCTGGTCACTTGGTTTCAAGCTCCTGAGGTCTGACCTGGCCTGTGTTTGGACTCTGCCTCTGACTTGCCCATTGGAACCGGTAACTAATTCCTGCCCCCGATGGGATTGGTAGCAAGTAACTACTAGGCCAGGCCGCCTACATCCCAATCCCTTATATTTTTCCACTCAGGTATAGAGTTTAGTTTATTAAACTATGAGGAACTTTCCTCTTATTTCATGAACAAAATAAGTAGCTTAACATATACATAGTGCACAATGCATAATTTATATGAAAAATACTGATTATAGCTTCACTCTTCAGTTCTACTAAGGCTGAGGAAGAGTTTGACATAAATGATATTAAGACAAAAACCAGAATTTGAAAATACAATTTATTACAGGCTTATTTATTTTTAATGCAGCTGTTCCACAGTATCCTATTTCTACCCTGGTTGTTACCATGGTTTTTTTTAAGTTGCAAAACCCTTCTTAAAAGCCCAGATTTCCACCAGCCAACCAAAAGCTTGGTGAAAGGGCTTAACATCACACTGCAATACCTACCATCACCAAAGAGATGACTTATGAGCTTTGTGAGCACCTGTTTTAAACTAAATTCCACGAGCTTTGCTGCCTCCATGGTGTGAGTCTCCTGCTTGTGCGCTGTGCGGTGTCCTTCCTCAAACAACTGGAAACTTTCTCCATCTTTGATGTTTCTAAACAGCTAGATAGACAAAGACAAAAACACAGAAATTGTTTAAACAGAACCAGAAAAATCCATGAAATTAAGTTTTAATCTATGAAATGTAAGAGGTATGGGTTTAATTTAGGTATAATTGTGAATGCCTTGAATTTTCTTGAATAATCTTTATTGGATCTTTATCTTTATGGATGATGGTGTAGATAGATATTAGAAGAAACCCAGCCTGATTCTCAGAAACCAGCCTGAATTAGCAAAACCATCTCTACTTGTAGACTTAGTACACTTGTAAATCCCAGAGAGCCAATCAACACTGCATCATACACATTTCTTTTCAGACTCCAGAGTGAAAGCAAACACTTTAAAAGATGTAGGTGAAGGCAAATAACTTGAAAAAAGAGCTCCTAGCTGACTATATATAACAGAATATTCCTGAAACTTCATAATATGTTCTATATACAATGTATTACAATAAGATGAACTACAAGAAGCACAGAAACATTCAGTCAACTAAACATTACAACTTATTTTTGTAAAGTTCACTTATAATTAATAGGTGCATCTTCACATAAGCTTTACTGTGGAGCAGACTAATCAGCTCTACAGTACAGTGTCACTGTCTACACATATTAGGACACAGTAATCTAATTAACTCAGAGACAGTACTATCTTACAGTGGAGTAATTGATTTTGGTGAAAAATGTGCAGCCGGTGACCACAGATGTAAATTGAACCCAGTCAGCCCAGCCAGCCAGGGACCAGACTCCTGCATGCTACCTAGCCACATGGCTCCTCTGCCTAGTCATACTAGTTCCACAGGTTCCACATGCTCATGCCCGAGGCAGCCCCTCCATTAACCAAAGCCACCACCCAGAGCCCAGAGCTGACCATCCCCGCCTCCCATGCCCAGGCCTGCTCCGCCCCAGCTCAAATTGCTGCTGTCCCAGGTAAACATATAGATGCTGCACAAAGGAACAGTTTACTCCGGCTCCAACTGCTCTGGAGTTTATTGCTGCACATTAATTGCTCATGTAGATGCACCCACTAACTGCAGAAATCTACTCATGCACAAAATTCATGAAATCATTTATTTCTAACAATGAAATAAATATTTTTGGAGTAGGAGATCAATAATTATTTTAAAAAAATATTTAATTGCTTCAAAAAGTTATAGCACTAAGAAGAACATGACAACAGAATATATAAATTCTAAAGACTATCCAAAAAGTTTTATATAAGAACCTTTACTACACCTTGAAAAAACTTTTCAAAACTGAATTGCTCTTAAATGAATTTAAGTTGTATAAATAAAGGGCTGTAAACATTAACTTGTGGTTTCTTTCAACCCATTTGATTTCCCATCAGGATCAAAAAAACAAAATCTCTCTCTCAGAAAATGAAAACTGCTTCACTGTCTTTCCCCTCCCCACAAACTATATTGGGTAGATTCAATCAGACTTTAAAAAAAATACATTTTGTGATCTATCTGGCCTGAACACAGAATGTAACAAGAACAACTGCTATAAGAGTTCAAGACAATGGAAGTAGAAGAGGTGATGGTGGTTGACATGGTAGTGGTTGTTAAAAATAAATGGTGTAATATACTTTATAAGGCAGACAAGTTTCTTTGGGTAGATGTGATATCTTTTATTTGACCAACTAAATAGTTGGAAAAATTGTTGTTTGCAAGCTTTCCGGCACAAACACCCTTCTTCGGGCATAAGGAGAGTCTGTTGGTATTTGTGTGCTCTCCTGGGTAGAAGAGAAGCCAGTATGCTAAATGCAGGTCTGTGAAAATGCAAAAGCATGGCAGTGAGGATACGAGGGAATGGGACACAATAGGTGTGTGACAGATGGGGTGTGGGGAAGCAGGAATGTAGAACTGGTGAGAGAACGTAGCTGGTAAAATATAGAGGTTACCTGGGGTTATCAGATAGCAGGCAGGTTTATAATGTGCCATAAATCCAATGTCTATATTTAGTCCATGATTTTTTGTATCCAGTAGATTTATGAAGTGGAATTACACGAATTTATTAAATGAATCCATCGCAAATTCAATAACCATCACCCCTCCAACAGACTCTCTCTTGAATACTTCAGCACCAACATTACCTTTTTAGACACTATGATCAATACGCAGAATGGTAAAATACAAACGACCACACACAAGAAACCCACAGACCAACATACCTATCTACAAAGAGCTAGCAATCACCCTAAACACACCAAGAAAGCTGTACTGAGGAGATCATACCTGCGATTGTCACCTCGCAAATCTCAAAAGGGCTTTCACGCAACAAGAACACTCCTCCAGAGAGATAGATCATACTTTTGAAAGAGCCACCCAGATACCACATGAAGAATTGCTGCAGTACAAAAAGAAAATCCCCATGAATTGCACACCATTGGTTATGACATAGCATCCTTCCCTGAAACTTTCAAAAAAGCACCATTGCTGCGTCACACACACATCTAAAAATGTCCCAAAACACCAACAGACTCCCCTTATGCTTGAAGAAGGGTGTTTGTGCCTGAAAGCTTGCAAAGAACAAATTTTCCAAGTACAGGCATACCTCATTTTATTGCGCTTCGTAGATATTCTGTTTTTTACAAATTGAAGGTTTGTGGCAACCCTGCGTCGAGCAAGTCTATCAGAGTCATTTTTCCATCGGCGCCATTTTTCCAACAGCATTTGCTCACTTCGTGTCTCTGTGTCACATTTTGGTAATTCTCGCAATATTTCAAACTTTTTCATTATTATTATATTTGTTATGGTGATCTGTGATCTTTGATGTTACTACTGTAATTGTTTTGGGGTACCACGAACCGTGCCCATATAAGACAGCGAACTTAATCGGTAAATGTTGTGTATGTTCTGACTGCTCCACTGACCGGCCGTTCCCCCATCTCTCTCCCTCTCCTCGGGCCTCCCTATTCCCTGAGACACAACAATATTGAAATTAGGCCAATTAATAACCCTACAATGGCCTCTAAGTGTTCAAGTGAAAGGAAGAGTCACACGTCTCTCACTTTAAATCAAAAGCTAGAAATGATTAAGCTTAGTGAGGAAGGCATGTCAAAAGCCGAGATAGGCCGAAAGCTAGGCCTCTTGTGCCAAACAGTTAGCCAAGTTGTGAATGCAAAGGAAAAGTTCTTGAAAGAAATTAAAAGTGCTACTCCAGTGAACACATGAATGATAAAAAAGCAAAACAGCCTTAT